CCTGCATTAAGTGTATAAGACGTTACGACGCAAAGAAAATTATACTGGCAAATATTTAAAATCTAAATTATACTGAAAAATATACCGGAAATGCCGTAAATTATCACACAATGGCAATGTGCGAGATTTTTATCATATTAGTGTGGTGTACCTTGTGCTTGTTGCCGGGCACGCGCAGCAGGCCCTCGTCTGCGCAGCGCAGCGCCAGCGCGGCGGACACGGCGCGCAGCACGCTCGGCACAGAGCTCCACGTCTCCTCCCACAGGATCATGTCCTTGCGCAGCAACGTCTCCACGGACACGCCGAACACTGAACCCTCTGCAAAAAAAATATTAGTATTATATTCTGACAAATGGCACTCAGTGAAGTAAGTAAGTTGCATGTCACGTGTCAGCATGAGATGATGAGACGGCAATAATTACCTTCTTTCCTCTTCTTTTTGTGAGGTTTTCGTTTGTGGAAAGGCAACGAGTAGCGGTCGAAGAGTGCGGTGAGCTCGAGCCACACCAGCGGCTGCAGCTTCTTCAGCGTCGGCTCCGCAACACACTCGATGTCCACCGTGCTGCCCTCCTCCGGCCATTCCTGCAACGACATGCCGTTACACTTAGTTGAAATACCTACACTCAATTTGACTAACTACCGCACTTATTTAGTCGTTATTGTTGCTAAGGCAGTAATTAACAATGTAGGAAATAAACACATTTAGTAGTTACCTCCTCGTGGTTGAGCACCTGCCGGTCGAGGTTGAACTTGTGTTCGAAGCTGAGCGGCTGCCCGCGCTGGCCACGCTCTTGGCGCGCGACACCGCCGCGTGCTTCTTGCTGCAACAACAGAACCGTATTCAATATTTCGACAATAGATTCGAGGAGTTTGCGTGTACTCATTGTTGTTTTTAATGATAAATGGACAAGATTCAAATATACGTACACGAAAGGATCACTGTCCTTGAGAATAGATCCGTTGATTCTCTCCTTGCCTATTCTCGGGCCCTGCACGGTGCCGTATCTTTGGTAACCCAGCAGTTCTATACCCTCTGCAAACAATGAAAAACATTGCAATGCCATTGTTTAAAATGAGATTAGAAACCATGTGATAAAAGTCCCCTCTAAGCATAGAAGCATTTCTGATGCTGGGATGATAAGCTGTCTTGATCGCTCAATATCGCAGGAGACGTTACCGGTGTTAGAGGCAATGTCCGCCCAGTGCAGGTCGTTGGGCTTGAAGAGGTCGTGTCCGCGGTGTGGCGCGGGCGGGGAGTGCTGCGCGGTGGGCGGGGAGTGCTGTCCGGGCGGAGAGAGACGCGCGCGGCGCGGCGCCGGTGCGGACGGCGTGCGGCCCAGCGCACTGTGACCACCAGTTTGGTAGGTGTCGCTACACACAATAATTAAAAGATTTAGCTCTTAACTTCTTTCAATCTTACATATTTGATGACTAAATGATGACGTCGATTTATTAGTGTTATCTAGTATACTTTTGAAATCGCTTGATAATCCTTGGATGATTTTTCTACAAGAGAACAAGAATTAAGTTATCAAAACTTACACAAAGTCTTGTGGCGCAGGCGTGTCGGCCCACTCGGCAGGCGGGGAGCCGGAGCCGGCGCTCGGCAACGAGTCCAGCGAGTCCGGGGTCGCGCTGCGCGACCGAGGCTCGCTGCCGCTAGAGTTCTGCAACAAACAGCACAATCCTATTTAATATTTGCCGTTTATTACCACCCTGGGCGAACTCCAATCAAACCCGGTAAGGGTTAAATCTTAGGAAAAATATCACTACACGAATCATAAAAAAACAAATGAAATATTAAACCGATCACAACCAAACTTAACAGAATCACTCACTGTCACAATATCAACGTACAAAACTTCTTTAAAATCGGTGCAGTGTTCTAGTTTTAGACAAACAGAAGAGAACCTGAATACTGGACTGCTTGAGTGACACAGAAGTGGTAAATGAGTCACCGGCTAACTGTGACATGAGCCCTTACCTATTAGACGTAACAAAACACCTTTGTTCCGATTTGTTATCCCCACGTCTGGCAGATGAGTAATCGCATGCCGATATGTTTAACTATTTCCTAGCTTCGGCAGAGAATTTTTATACCATGACCAATATCAACATGAGGATAGATCGTCAGAAATGACACCTACTGGATATTAATAGCAAAGTTGCCTCTCGTGATTATTTATACTTTTGTCCAAGAGTTGTCTTAAACAATGTTTTCATGCTAAATGCATAGTTAAAGGGATAGATAGAAAACTTTCAGTAGCATATAGAGGTTAAAAAGGGAAGGGTATTGTAACCGCGCTCGTAGTGGTCCAACCGCAAAACAAACAAAACTAACGATTGTACGCTCTAATGGAAAGAGAAACTCGCGTTATAATTGATGTGAAGATGTGGGGACATCTCAATGAAAGCATAACATTCCGTTTGTCGCTTTTTATGTTTTTGTCGAGGAAATTGAGCTGCGTTTTTATATTGTTGATAATAACAGAAGTGTTAGTTACTAGCGAAACCCTTTTGTGTATTAGACACGATTTTGATGATTGTTCCAAAGGTCAAAAATCATCTCAGTTACAGTTTGTACAATTTTATTTTCACAATACCCTGTGCTGCGTTGAGTGGCGTTAATTAAGGTTCACGGAGTTTTTAAGGACAATTAAAATAGTTGCGAGGTCCCAGGTCGCGTTACGTGTCCCGACAATGAAGTGAACCTTGCGTTTAACGTTATTACGGTCATGGGCCCACGCGCCGACACAACAATTATAAAACACTTATTCGCAAATTGATATTATCAGGCCACGCTTATGGTTAATTCGTGTATTGTGTTGAACGTATTTAGATTTGGAAGAACACGTGTTGATCAGTCGATCAACGGATTTCAGTAACATTTTACTGGCCATAAAGAAAGCCATAAATACATTTTTGAATTTGGAACCTTCAATAGCATTCCAAATTCAAAAACTTTTATTAATCTTAATTATGTTTAATTGCAACCGTAGATTTAAATATATTTTTCACGTTTATATTTTAGTTATCATCCTTATCATATTGTAGATATTCCAAGTATGAGACGGGCTTTCGAGGTGCATG